GATAGATAGATAGATAGATAGATAGATAGATAGATAGATAGATAGATTAGATAGACAGACAGATGAACTGGGATTTAACCTTATGCAGTTGGAGTTAGGAAGCGGTTCCCAACATTGTGGTCTCAGTGTCTGATGCTGGCACTCGAAGTGCACAGGGCAGGCAGTTCGGAAGGGAAGACAGATATAAAGTGGGGTGAAGCTAGGACAAGCTGGTACAAGCTGGCCTCTGCCCTTGGTGGTAAGAGCGTCCAAGGGAGAAGCTGGCATCCTTCATCATGGAGCCAAAGACACACCCGGTCCAGGAGTTGGAGCAGTTGAGACAAAGATGCAGGAACAGGTGGAACAGTTGCTGGCCCGCTGCTGCCCCTGCCCTGATGCAAACCTGATAAGCCAGCAGCCAGCCAGCGACAGCCTGTGTGATCTACAAAATGGCAGCTGTTTCACCTCTGCCTCCAAATCCTGCCCGAGAATCTCTATTGGTGCATCCTAACTGAAAGCACATGGAGAAGGTAATTCTAAGCTACAGTTCATTCAGCCTGCTCAAGCTGATACATTACAAAGCCACAGCACAGAGACTGGAGGAGAGTGGTGAGAAGATCCGTCAGTGGCTGCTGGGGAAAGCAGAGGCACCTTGAATGCATGTGTCTAATAACCTCTGCGTGGCCTTTTTTTTTTTTTTTTTTTTTTTAGAGTTGGAGGGACAACTGGTAGTAGCCATCTCTTATTTGGCTTTAGCCTTTCTTCCAAAACATACAGATCCTTTTATTTTTTTTTTTTAAGATTTTATTTATTTATTTGACAGAGAGAGACACAGCAAGAGAGGGAACACAAGCAGGGGGAGTCGGGGAGGGAGAAGCAGGCTTCACACCGAACAGAGAGCCCGATGTGGGGCTCGATCCCAGGACCCTGGGACCATGACCTGAGCCGAAGGCAGACGCTTAACGACTGAGCCATGCAGGCGCCCCAAGAATCCTTTTATGTTATAGCTTCAGTCAAGGTGCATCTGATTAGTTGTCATTAGGTTATGGTTATAGATGTTTCATTAAATAATATTCCAACTTTCAACCATTATTTTTTAATAGACTTTATTTTTCATGAACAGCTTAATGCTTACAGCAAGTTACACAAAAAGTAAAGAAAATTCCCATATACTTCCTGTCCTTCCACACACATTTTCCCCTATTATTACCACCTTGCAGGAGTATGGTACCTTTGTTACAACTGATGGCCAACAGTGAAACATTATTACTATCTAGAAGCCATACTTTACATTAAGGCTCACTCTGTGTTGTACAGTTCTCTGGCTTTTTATAAATGCATAATGTGATGTATCCACCATTACAGCATCATACAAAATAGTTTCACCTTTCCATCCCTGTCCCCCACCTCATGATCCTCTGGCAACCACGGATCTTTTTACTGGTCTCTATAGTTCGGCCTTTTCTAGAATGCCATATATTTGTGATCATAGAGTCTATCGCCTTTTCAGATTGTCTTCCAAAGCAGCTGTATCATTTTGCATTCCCACCAGCAAAGAAGGAGAGTTCCTGTTGTTCCACAGCCTCAACAGCATTTGGTGTCATTTTTTTTGGATTTTGGACATTCTAATAGGTGTGTTGAGACATACCATTGTTGTTTGAATTTGCAATTCCCTAATGACATGATGGTTAGCAACTTTTCATGCTTATTTGCCACCTGTACATCTTCTTCAGTGAGATATCTGTTCATAAGTTTTGTCCATTTTTAAGTAGATTCTTTGTTTTCTTATGGTTGGGTTTTAAGAGTTCTTTGTATATTTTACATACAAGTCCATCATCAGGTATGTGTTTTGCAAATATTTCTGCCAGTCCGTGATTTGTCTTTTCATTCTCTTAACAGCCAGTACTTTTTAAAGCCCCTTGAAAGGCTCAAAGCCCAATGGCAGACATGCTGTCTAATTGATTTTGTTTTTTAATAGCAAAACACCGCACAAAAGGCAGAAGGATAGCAATGTTTGAGCGAAATGGCACCTTTTGAGAATTAGGCACTGTGGAGTACCAGCTGCTCTTTCTTCCAGGAAACCCACCTGGATTACATCAGCCCTTGGCACCCTCTTCTGCTTCTCAGCCCTTATGAAACACTTGAAGCTGGACTCAGCTTCTCCCCCAAATTTGGTATCTTAATGGTGATCCCATGGTCCCTTTGTCCCTGGGCCAGAGACTCAGCCAACCCTTGGATGTCCCTTTGACTCCTCACACCCACAGGGCCCCACATTGTTATCAGCATCTCCCCCAAAATTGTCCCTTTTCTCACATCCACATTTCAAGGTCTGTTCCACCTAATCCCCAGCGCAGAGCCCTGGACCTCAGGCTGGACGCCCCGCCCCTACAGCCAATCAATCTCCTGACCCACTCACTCAGTTGTCTCCTCTCGGCTCCACAGCCCTATATGGCCCACCATTGCCCTCCACCCGCATACCTCATCCTGCTCCACCCCCCTCCCTCAGTCCCCAGTTTTATTCTCACCCACCACTTCTCCCATCATGTGTTTTTTTGACTAACTACTTAGAGTCAGGCTTTGAACTAGACACTGAGGACAGCATGGTGACCTAGGCAAGCATGTTCAGTGAAATGTCCCTGAATGTTGCCATCTCTCAGGGCCCTGTCTGAGGCTGAGTGGGCTCTCCACAATTCCTGGCCCAGCATCCAGTGCTTTCTGGGGCAGCCCACAGACCCCTCACATTCCCTGTGTCCCAAACTAACCCGCTCCTGCTGCGTATTTTCTACCATCCCTACCTGATGATGGTGATGTGTCTAAGTCCCCCACTGAACCTGAGCTCCGTAGCATGGAGACTGGGGGGGCTGTCTCGTCCACCGCGGTGTCCCCGGGGTAGGGTCGGATCACGAATGCTATGGAATGGTAAAGACGAACGAATCCTTGGAAGAATGCATGCCGGGGAGATATCAGGGTCATGCTATCGGCCCCCTCTCCCTCACTCAGGCCTGAAACACCCTGTTTCTGAAATCAAAGAGCAGTAAGTCTGGCATCTCCGTACGTGGCTTCCTAGGATGAAAGTCCCATTTTGTCAAGAAAATCAAGGGACGCATTTGGGACCTTCTGCCTCTTAGGGGACACTTGGTGGTGAGCGGGAGGACGAGGAAAGCGAACGGGCCTCACCGTTTCTCCACACGCCTTTCCTCTTCACTCAAAGAGACCCACCCCGGAAGAGCGAGAGACACTGGGCGGCTCAGCGGCGCTAAGGAACCGCGAGGCCCCAGTCCGCCTGGCAAGCGATGGCGTCACTGCCGGCGCGCTCGTGACGTCAGAGGCGGGCGCCACACTTGAAGAGGGTGCGGGAAGCCGCTCCGCGTTATCATGGAGTTAATGCAGGAAGCGCGGGAACTGGGTTGCTGGGCGACGGAAGAGATGGGGGCGCCCGTCGCAGCCCAAGCCCCGGAGTCGACGCTGCGCAGGTGAGGGACGCTCTAAGTGTAAGCACTCCCAACCCTGGAGATAGTCTCCGGGGGTGAGAACCCCACCCCTCACTGAAGACCCGCCTTCCTCTGCCTCAGTGAGAATGACCCTTAAGGGCGGCCCCCCACATACACCCAGTAGTATATCCAGGAGGAGGATCCGGGGTTGAGTGAAGACCCCCCCACCCTGGGCGGTGACCCCCACACTCCCACCCCCTACCCCGTGAGACCGCCCAGAGTGAGGGCCGGCCGAGGCACCAGTGAGGATCCTCTGAGAGTTAACGAAGCCCCCTTCCTGTGTGGAAGTAAGATCTTTGGAGTGAGACTGTCTCTGCAACACCCTACCACCCCCACCCACCCTAACCAGTGCAGAGACGCGAGTCACCAAAGACCACCCCGTCGGAGGTTGAATCTAGAGGAGTGATGACCCACATCTGGTAATGAGAGCACTTCCTGGCAGTATACTTCCCACCCCTCCTCTGGAAGTGACTAGAGATAGCCCTCTCCCAGGAGAAAGGAATCACCCCACCAGGGAATGAGAATATCCCTACACCCAGTGAGAAACCCACAATTCAGTGACCGAGAACTCCCCAGGAGGGAATATCTCACCCCAGAGAGTAGGGACCCTCTTTCCCCCCAGAAGTGAGAATTCCCTGGTGAAGACTTTACCCACCACGAACACCCTGCGAATAAGGATGATCCACCCTGTGTGATACCCAAGGCATACCTTTACACACTCTCCCCACAGACTGTGTCTGGGCCAGGGGGCCGACATCTGGGCCTATGTTTTGCGGCATGTGCACAGCCAGAGGTTAGCCACATGAGGGAGGCTGTGACGGGAGGGGACACAGGCAAGCCCCACAGTAACACCTCTTCTTTCTGCCTCTCCACTGTAGGAGTGTCAAGAAGATCCGGGGAAACCTACTCTGGTAACTGGTTCTAAAAGCTCTTCCTTCCTATTTCCCCTAGTCCCATCCAGCTGTGTTTTCACCCACAGCCTCACACCTCCTGTCATCCCCCTGGAAGTCCCTGTCATCCCCTAACTCTGACAGTCCCTGTCATCCCCTGTCGTTTCCTCAGGTATGGCCACCAGGACAGTCCAGAGGTGAGAAGCATGTGTTACAAGATTTTCTTTCATCCAAAAAGAGGACTTGTAGATTTCTGCTCTAGGCCCAGCCTTGTGCTATGGGATGCTGGGGACACTGGGTCACAAGACAGCCCTGATCCCCACACTCACAGGGCTTACAGTCCAGGGGAGACAGGCATGAGCTGGGTGTTGAGGGGACATGGATATGAGGCATCCAACCTGATGAGGGGAGATGGGAGAAGAGACTGGTTTGGGAGATAGACTGAGGCCATTGTAGGACCTATTATGTGCAGGGGGCCCTGGTGACATCTAGGGGGAGGCTTCCAGAAGACCTTGGGACCCCTAGATGTGGGGCTTAGTGGGGAGGTGAGAACTGGGGCAGAGGTGTAGTGTCATCAGTCAGAGACAGGAAACAATTTAGGAGGATAGGGGAGGCAATCCCAGGAGGAAGGAGGAGGCCAGATGGTACCCTAGTGTTCTTCTAGGCCTAGAGAATCAGACACAGAAACTGCTTACGATAAACCCTCTGTCATCTACCTGTGCAGGCAAGGAGACCAGTGCTCCACAAAGAGCAGTCAGGCCAGGCCAGGCCAGGCCAAGACCCAAGCCAGGCCATGTATCTGACTCTGTACCTGATCTCGCCAGGCCCGTCGGAAGCTGGAGCTGGAAGCCACTGTTGCTCGCCTGCGGGCAGAGATCCAGGAGTTAGACCAGAGTCTGGAGCTGATGGAGCAAGAGACCGAGGCTCAGGGTGACTTATGGGGCTGGGAAGATGAGCAACAGAGTGGGGGTAGGGGAATGGCTGATAGCCACGTGTTTCTCCTCCAGACATAGCCCTGGAGCAAGCCCTTCAGAGCATTCAAGACACCCAGCGCCGTGCTCTCCTCCTCCGGGCCCAAGCTGGGGCCATGCGAAGACAGCAGCGTGGGCTGCAAGATCCCATGCAGCAGCTGCAGAATCAGCTGAGGCGTCTGCAGGACATAGAGAGGTGGGCCTCAGGTGCCCAGGGACCAGCCTTCACCAGGCAGGGCGGGCAGACATTTTTCTTAGAGACCTCAGTGCTCCACCCTGACCCTTCTTGGGTTCCAAAATTCTGAGCTCCACTCCTTAGGATTTAAAGTCTGTGAGGTCAGAAAGTTTTCTCATCTCAGCCACTTATATATCCAGTGCTTAGAATGGTGCCAACTGTATGTCTAGGGTATGTTCTGGGGAAAGAACAGTAAATAAGGGACAAGTCCCTGCCCTCCTGGAGCTTTTACACTCTGATGCAGAGGAGCCAGATGATAAACTAGTATAATTGCAGGGAGAGATAAGTGCTATGATAAAAAGGTGATATGATAGTAAGGGCGAAGGAGATGCTACTCCAGGGAGGATGGTCAGAGAAGGCCTCTCTGAGGAGGTAACATTTGAGTTGGGGGAGGAATCTCCATGGTGAGGGATAGCAAGAGCAGAGGTGCCGAGTTTGGCATATGGGAAGAACAGCCAGGAGGCCAGTTTAGCTTCAGTTACACAGGCAAAAGGGAGGGCACGAGGAGGTGACGTCAGAGAGGTGGACAGAGTGCCATGGAGGCGTCAGAATTTTACTCAAAGCCTGGGTTCATGCCTTAGCCTGGCCACTTACAGCTCTGTGACCGTGGGCAAACTACTTGGCTTCTTTGTGCCTCAGTGCGTAAGCTCTATGGAATGGGGATAATATTAAACCTCCTTTATAGGGTAGGTATGATAATTGAGTTAAATCATGCAGCGTGCTTAGAGGATACCTAATACCCATTGTTACTATTCTGAGTGTGATGGGAAAACATCACATTGTTTTCGAGGGTTTTAGGCAGCAAGGTGACATGATCTGTCTGAGGTTTTAACAGGATCATTGACTACTAGATGGAAAACAGACTGCAGGGGCAAAGAGCAGAGGCCAGTGAGGAAGCTAATACAGCCAGGAAATGTCAGTGGCCTGATTTTAGAGGTGGCCCCTGAGATCCAGGCTCAGTGACTAGCCTTGTAGCAGGAGGAGACACAGACATCTGTTCTAGCTCCCTTTTCCCAGGGACTCCCACCCCAACTCTGCTTCTCTCTCCAGGAAGGCCAAAGTAGATATAACCTTTGGACCCTTGACATCAGCAGCCCTGGGCCTGGAGCCTGTGGTCCTGGTAAGAGTCCTGGGCTATGGGGAAAGGAGTGGGGAGTCAGATCAGGTGGACCCATGGGTTCCCTTCATGCCCCATCCTCTTCTTCGCAGGGTGATGTCCGAACAGCCTGCACCCTCCGGACCCAGTTCTTGCAGAAACTCCTAATTCCTCAGGCCAAGGGAGGCAGCATCCCGTGAGTGTCATCCAAGCTCCACAGACCCTGCCAAGAACCTGGGCTTTGAGGGGGGAGTTACTTTCTGTTAATTCCTCAGACACTCAGCCTCTGGACCACGTCAGCCCCAGGCCTTACCCAGACAGGGCTCCCAGGCTAGGACAAGGAAGAGACAAATCTACCACAGACAGTGGCAACCAGGGTGGTTAGGGCTGTTGGGGGTGGGGAAGTCTGAGAGACTCCAGGTACTCAGAGGAGACACCTTCCTCACCTAAGGAGTCAGGGAGGACAGGTTCCCCGGTGAGGAGGCTTAGCCAGGGTGAAAGGTTAAGACAGTATTCTAGACAAAGAGCACGTGTGAAAGGCTCTAAGGCCAGCTAGTTGGTGTAAGCGGGGAACTGAAGTCTAGCAGGCATAGATAGACTTGGTTTCCTCATCCTTGAAATGGGGACAGTGATAGCCCCCCACCTTATAGGGTAGTGGTGATCAGTAGAGGGAGAGTTGATGTGTCTTGTAACAGTCTCTGTCCCCTTCCCCAACCCCACAGAACCCCTCGAGATGACTACTTTGGACCTTCCTACCAGCACTGGCTTAGCTCAGTGGAGGTGAGGGGGACCACACCTTCTGCCCCATGAGCAAACCTCAGGGTGCCAGGACCTAACTCTTGATCCCTACCTCATCACCATGGATCCCAGCTCAGAGCACTGCCCCCCATCTGGCCCTGCTTCACCCTTCCCCCCACCAGACACTGCTGACAAACCACCCTCCGGGCCACGTCCTGGCCTCCTTGGAGCACTTGGCTGCAGAGCGGGAGGCAGAGATTCGGTCCCTGTGCAGTCCGGATGGGCTCCGAGATACGGAGATAGCCAGGTATGGAGTGGAGTGCTCCTAAGGGCGGGGCGGGGCAGGTGGATGGGTAAGCCGGAACAGACTCAGGACCAGGCGCACCTGCTAATGGGAGTGGAACTGAAACCCAGTGACCATTCTGGCAGGTGGGCTGACATTGGCCACCCCCAAGAGCCCAGGCAAGGGGAGAGGGCTCCTCCCTCAGCGGTTTTACCCCACCCCCAGGTCCCAGGCACCAGACCAGTCAGACTCCAGCCAGGCCCTGCCATCCATGGTGCATCTCATCCAGGTGACCCCCAGGCATCCTTTCCAGGACTCCATCCCCTCATCCCCTTCCCATCCCGAGGCCTGCTTGATCCCCTCCCCCCCAGGGATGATGCCCACCCTGACTTTGTACTCCTGCCCCAGGAGGGCTGGAGGGCCGTGGGTGTGCTGGTTGCCCAGCGGGGCCCCCTTCTGAAGGAGCATCAAATCCTGACCCAGCGCCTCCAAGGCCTGATGGAGGAGGTGAAGAAATGTGCGCCGGGATCCAGTGAGAGGTGAGGGGGCTCCCTCACCAGAGGCCTCTAGGCCATCTCTTTCCCAGAGGTCTCAGAATACTAGACTTCTTCTGCCCCTGTGGCTCCCAGCTCTGCCTCCCCGCTCTCCTGGTTTGTCCCCCTGTGTTTGTGGCTCCTTGTGCATCCTTACAGATCTGATCTCCCTCCTCCGCTAGGAGTCTTAGTCATCTTCCTCTCCCTGGTTCTCTTCTGCTGTGCCCCAGGCAGGCCTTGATGCTGGGGCTCCGGGGCTGTGGCCTGTGGGCAGAGCTCAAGGCCCTACGTGCCCAGAGCCAGGAGCTAGAGGAGGTGGCTGGGCAGCGGCAGCTTATGCTGCAGGAGCTACAGGCCAAACAGCAACGGATCCTGCACTGGCGCCAGCTGGTGGTGAGAGGCCGGCCTTGGGGGAAGTGGCAGTGCCTGATGGAGGGCCAGAGAGAGGCTGGGAGCCTTAAGATCTAAAACTGGGCCTCTGGTGGTGAGGAGAGGCCCAGGGTGAGTCTCCCAAGAGGAAGCAGGACCTGTACAAAGGGGAGGGCAGGGCCAGAGGCTGGGAGGTGGGAGGTGGGAGGTGGGAGGTGGGAAGTAAAAGGCGCCCATCTCGGTGGCCTCATGGTTGCCCAGGAGGAGACACAGGAACAGGTCCGCCTTCTCATCAAGGGCAACTCAGCCAGCAAGACACGCCTGTGCCGGAGCCCTGCAGAGGTGAGAGAGAAGTTGGGGCAAGGTTTGGGTAGGGCTGGGGCTCCTAGAGATGGGGCCAGTTGGCTCCAGGCTGCCCCTCCCACCCCTTTCCTCCCCCACAGGTGCTGGCTCTGGTTCAGCGAAAACTGGTCCCCACATCTGAGGCGGTGGCACCAGAGAGCCAGGAGCTGCTTCGCTGTCTAGAGGAGGAAGCCCGGCATCTGCCCCACCTTCTGTTGGGCACCCTGCTTCGGCACAGCCCCGGAGGGTAAGACTGGAGCCACCCCCTAAGTCCCCTCCCATGGGTGACTATCACTCCCTGATTCCACGCCAAAAAAATAATCCCAGGCCTCCAATGTTCCCAAGCTGCCAGACCTCACCCTCAGGTCTCAGTCCCACTCTGGAATCCTGGTCCCCAGACCCACCTCCAAGTTCCTGGGCCTCCTGAGGCCACCTCTAAGCCCCCAGAACCTCTGGAATCCAAGCCTCCCTCCAAGTACCCCACCCAACCTGGACTATCCCTCCAGATTGCAGCCCCTGCCTACGGTCCTGCCATCCATCCACCAGCTGCATCCTGCATCCCCGAGGGGCTCCAGCCTCATAGTGCTGAGCCACACACTGGGGCTGCCTGCAGGAAAGGTGAGTGCCTGTCCCCTAGGACCTGTCTTCCCACCCCTCCTCCTGCCCAAAGTGACCATCCTTCCCCCTCCCTCCAGGCTCCGGAACTGCTCCTCCCAAAGGCCGCCTCTCTTCGTCAGGACCTTCTATTCCTCCAGGACCAGCGGAGTCTCCGGTGCTGGGATCTGCGCCACGTGAAGACCAGCCTGCCACCAGGACCATCCACCCAAGGTAAGGCCTGCCCTGCCTTCACAGCCGGCATCCCTGCCCATTCCCAGGGCCATCAGCCTCCAGAAAAAAATCCCAAACGCCCATTGCTGGCACAGTGCCTACTGTGCACCTAGTGCTTTAAGCATGCTCACTGGTTTCATCTGCACAGCAGCCCCATGGGGTTAGTGCTGCCATTTGTCCCTTTTACAGAGGCAGGAACTAAGATGGGAGGCCTTGCTGGCTGCCCAGGTAGGAGGGCTAGGATTTAAATCTGACCTTTAATCTGGCAGTCTGACATGTGTCTGTACTCCTAACCAGGTGATCCTGCCCATTAAATTGCCAAGTACTCACATATCACCATCCAGTAGGATATGTGAGTAGTTAAAAGCTAGGCTGTGGGGCACCTGGGTGGTCAGTCGTTAAGCATCTGCCTTCAGCTCAGGTCATGATCCCAGGGTCCTGGGATCGAGTCCCACACAGGGCTCCCTGCTCCGCGGGAGGCCTGCTTCTCCCTCTCCCACTCCCCCTGCTTGTGTTCCCTCTCTTGCTGTCTCTCTCCGTCAAACAAATTAATTCATTTTTTTAAAAAGGCAAGCTAGGCTGTGGAGTTAAACTCCTCTCAGCCCTACCTCTTCCCTGCTTTACGATCTCCCAGTGCCTCCGTTTCCTCCTCAGTGGTGTAAGCATAATCATAGTACCTTACAGAGTTGCTGGGAAGACTCAGTCCGGTTACCCAAACAGGGCACTGAACAACGCACAGCATTCAATAAGCACTAAGTGTCTCTGGTGTGATTACGATCATTTTGCCTGCACGTGTGCAGTCTCTTTCAGTCCTTACGATGAGGGTAGGACGTTTTGTTGTTGTTGTTGTTGTTGTTGTTTTTGAGAGAGAGGGAGGAGCAGGGAGGAGGAGAGGGGGAGAGAAAGAATCTTAAGCAGGCTCCATGCCCAGCACAGAGGCCAACACGGGGCTCAGCCTCACAGCCCTCAGATCATGCCCTGAACCAAAATCAAGAGCCAGATGCTTAACCGACTAAGCCACCCAGGTGCCCCCCAAGGTAGGGATTATTAAGACCCAACTTACAGATGAAGAAGCTGAAACTCAGCAAAGTTGTTCATTGCTAGATTCCCTCAGGAAGGACTTGCTGGGCACCTACCAGCCACTGGCCCCGAGAGCTCAATGGGGAGAGAGGCCGGAGCTGCCCATCCCCAGGGATCCCAGTGGCAGAAGCAAAGAGCCCAGAATCAAAGGATAAATAGGTAGGAGAGGTGTATTGATGAGAAATGACTCGGGGCGCCATCAGCAAAGCAGGAAGAGACCATTTTTGAGCCTTTGAGTTTTCGGCTCCTGCCTTCCCCTCTCCAATGTGCAGGGAGCTATGTGTGGAAACAGCCCAAGACATGACACAGCATCATCCCACCTCATGGGCATCTTGGGCTTTAACATGTAACAGAACATAGTTCCCTCTGTTCTGAAAAGCAGGTTTGTTTTTCTTTAGCCTCGTTTCCTTCCCTCAATAAATGACCCCACTCTCCTTACTAAGGCCGGCCAGCCAGGAGTCATTCTTATTTCCTCCCAGCACCCTAACTGCCACCCCCGCCCCCGACCTTCAACCTGTCAGCAAGCCTTGTAGGTCCCACTCCAGCATGCCCCAGTCTGCCTCCTGCCCCGTGTTACACCCGACTGCAGGAGTGGCTGCAGAAAGGGCAAGTGTCATGCCTGAGGTCAGAGGCAAGGATGGAATGGAGCCAGGATTCAGGCCCAGGGGCTCTGACTGCACTGCTGATCTGTACTTGCTCTGAGATGGACCTGTTTGGGGCCTGTGGAGAGGGACTAGACCCAGTCATGTCTCCAGGGGGAAACACTGCTGGAGTGAAGGGCTGTAGCAGTCTGAAGAGGAAGCCTTGGGGTGGGGAACACTGGGAAGGGCTTCCAGGAGGAAAGATGGTGTCTTGGGTGGGCCCAGAGGGATAGGCGAGGTTTTGGTAGTAAGCAGAGGCCACATAACGCAAACTTTCAAGTACTAGGCTGAGGAGCTCAGACTCTGTCTTGGGGGCACTGGGGAGCCTTGGAGGGTTCCATGTAGGAGAGAGAAAGGATCAGGTTTATGCTTTAGAAAGATCACTCTGGCTGCCATGTAGAGAATGGACCAGAATGGGAGGCTGAGGCCTGGAGCCTAGGAGGGAGGCTGGGGGACAAGTAGGGAAGAGGGGAAGAAGGGGAAGGATTTGCCAAGGAGACTGACAGTCTGTCGAGGAGGGAGGAAGGTGTCCAGGCTGAGGCCTGGGGGATGGTGGGCTTGCCCCCGAGATGAAGACCTGGGAGGAGGGAGAGGTTTGGGAGAGATGCTGAGGTCACGACGAGGTGACCGGAGACTTGGGGACTTACTGGCCATGAGGCACCAGGGAGCCTGAGGACTCAACACTGCCTCCTGGGTTTCCCACCTGCAGAGCTGCTGCAGATCCGGGCATCCTGGGAGAAGGAGCAGAAGGACAATCTGGGGCAGGCTCTGAAGCAGCTGGAGAACCTGCTGAAAAAAGCACTGGAGCGAATCCCCAAGCTACAGGGGGTTGTGGAGGACTGGTGAGGGGGCATATGATGGCGGGGCAGGGTGCTGAGCTGGGTGGACCGGGGAGAACTCGGGCGGCGGAGGGAGGGCAGCTGGTGACAAGCAGGCCATGGTGTTGGCGGGGAGGCCGAGTGTCTAGAGGTCCAAGCCTTCCTGTGACGCTTCCCTTCCCCAGGTGGGAGCAGCCAGGCCAAGCCGCCCTGTCTGAGGAGCTCTGCCAGGGCCTGTCCCTGCCCCAGTGGCGGCTGCGCTGGGTCCAGGCCCAGGGTGCCCTGCAGCAGCTGTGCAGATGAAAAGGGGCCTCAAACAGGAGTCAGGAGCTTCATATTCTCCCCTCCATGAGACCTTGGGAAGAGAGTATCACCTGGATGTGTCAACCCATTGTCTCCACCCACCTTGCTGTCCTCCTCACAGGCATTTCTGTCCTTCCCAACTGCCTGGGACCTGTCCTTTCATCCATCAAAGCCAAGAGAACAGGGTGCTCTGGACCCCACCCTAGGTCCCCCTGAAACTCCTCTCATCACTCTCACCCTCAGCAAAAAGTCATTGAGCACCTGCTCTAAACACTAAGGATCCAGCACTGAACAAAATGGACAAAAGTCCCATCCTTCAGGAAGTTGTTCTAGGACAGGGAAGCAGACCCCTGACAAGTTAAGTGAGCAAAATATGTAGTATGTTGGAAGATAACGGCTCTGGAGAAAAATAAAGCAGGATGTAGGAGGTGCAACTTTAGATAGAAGGCCACACACACCCTGTAAAGGTAATGAGAGGGACGCACGTGGGCATCTGAGGAGGGATGGAGTGGGGCTGGAGTGGGAAGGAGGCTAGAGCTCAGGCAATGGCCCTCAGCTCAAAATGCCGGTGAGAGGGTTGAGGAGGTGGGGGTGTTCAGCGGGCGGGGTGGGGGAGGTCTTCTAGTTTTTACGTAGTTTCCTTTTTTGTATTTAAATCTCTGAAGTCGGGGCGCCTGGGTGGCTCAGTCGGTTAAGCGACTGCCTTCGGCTCAGGTCATGATCCTGGAGTCCCGGGACCGAGTCCCGCATCGGGCTCCCTGCTCGGCAGGGAGTCTGCTTCTCCCTCTGACCCTCCTCCCTGTCATGTGCTCTCTTGCTCTCTCTCTTGCTCTCTCTCAAATAAATAAAATCTTTAAAAAAAAAAAATCTCTGAAGTCATTTGGAATTTATCCAAGTGGATCCAATTTTGTCTTATTTTACATATACCCCAATAGTATTTCTTAAAATCCTCAGAGCATTGGTTGGGAGGCGACAGGGGAACTTTCTAGAGTTGGAAACGGATTACATGTTGAAGGCAGTAGGGATAGGTGTCAGAACTCATCTAGCTGTAGTCTTAGGTCTGTGCACTTCACCGTGAATTATTCTTCAGCTTATAAAGTAAAACCTTACCCACCTATATAAAGTAAAACTTCAGGTGATTTGAGATGCCACCTCTTCATATGCTAAATGTCCATGATTAACCAGGCTGTATCTGGATTCTCTCCAAGTCTATTGTGTCTGACTCATATGCCATCCCCACAGTGTTCTAATTATAAAGGTTTTCTGTTTTAGTATCTGAAATGTCTGGTTGCTGTCTTGCTCTCATTTCTCAAGGTTTCCCTGTCTCTTGCTAATTTTTTCTCCCAAATGAACTTTATACCCAACCTGCCTGGTTCCAGAAAAAATACAAACACGGATGGGAGTTTTGCTGGGTTTGCAGTAAGTTTACAAATGAGGGAGATTTGACATCTTTATGTCTTTACCATATCTCCTTTCCTATGTGCCACCTCAGTGTTCCCCTCCTCTCTTCATCTTGGCTCCTAGCCAAGACTGAACATGGGGGTCCTTGTCCCGCCTCCCTGCTTAATTTTTCTCCATGGTACATCTTTTAACATACTTTGTGTTCTATTTTATTTATCCTTTGTTGTCCTCCAAACAGAATGTGAGCTCCATGAAGGTGAAGTTCTCTATAAACCAGAAATTGGGCAGACTTTCCTAAATATGATTCAAAATCCAGATGCAGTAGGGGAATTATTGATGAGAACGTAAAAACAAGCTTTTGCAGGGTGCCTGGGTGGCTCAGTCAGTTGAGTGGCTGACTCTTGGTTTCCACTCGAGTCATGATCTTGGGTTTGTAGGACTGAGCCCCGCCTTGGGCTCCTGCTCAGCGCAGTCTGTTTGGGATTCTCTTTCTCCCTCTCCCTCTGCCCCTCCCCCTGCTTGCACACACTCTAAATAAATAAAAATTTTTAAAGAACTTTTTGCATGGCAAAAAAAAGCAAAATAAAAAATGATAAATTGGGGGGCGGAATTTGCAATCTGCATAAAGGGATGTGTGTGTGTGCACATGCACACGTGTGTACGTCAAAGTGGAAAAGAAAAATTCAAAGTCCATAGAAAAGTTGGCAAAGTTAAATGGACAATTCTTAGAAAATATCCTCCAATTCGATATAATAAAAGCAAATTAAAATCCTACTTTGATACATTTTCCACCTATCAGACTGCAAAAAACGAAACCCAAAATTTTGGAAGCTCACCGTTGACAAGGCTGTGGGAAAACAACACTTGGTGCATCAGTGGACAGGCAATGTGGAACACCTATGGGACAATCTCCAGCAAAGCTACATATGCATTTACTCTTTGCCTAACCAATCCCACTTTTGAATTCTCTTCCAAAGACATACTGGGTGAAATACAAGTTGGGGGTCCATATACGAAACAAACTAGACTATTCTTCAAAAGGTCAATGGGGCTCAGGTGGGGACTGCTTTAGATTAAAAGAGACATGACAAATGCAAGGTGGGTCTTGATTGAACCATGGAATTTTTTTCAGTGAAAGTACGTTTTGGGGACAACGGGAAATTTGAAAATTGGGAATGGGGAACGTATGTTAGAGAATATTATACTGTGTCTTTGTTAAATGTCTTTGCTGGGGTAATGGCATTGTGTTTAGGTGGGAGATTATTCTTAGAGGATGCATATTGAAGTATTAAGGATAATGTCTGCCACTTTGAGATAGTTGAGAAGAGAATAAGGTAAAAGGGACAGGGATGGAAGCCAAACATCTTCAAACATATGAATATACACTGTTTCATTCTTTGCACTGTGGAAACATCTAATTTTTCGTAATTTAAAAAAGTGAGAAAAAATCCCTAAAAATTGAAAACAAACAAACCTAACTGTATCAAGTCGGTGGCACAATTGATTCAGATAAGAATTATTCCAGGGCGCCTGGATGGCTCAGATGGTTAAGCGTCTGCCTTCAGCTCAGGTCATGATCCCAGGGTCCTGGGATCGAGTCCCGCATCGGGCTCCCTGCTCAGCGGGGAGCCTGCTTCTCCCTCTGCCTCTCCGTCTCTTATGAATAAATAAATACAATCTTTAAAAAAAAAAAGAATTGTTCCAGGTGAGGTTAAAATAGTACTTTCAAGGCACCTGCGTGGCTCAGTCGGTCGGTTAAGCTCAGGTCATGATCCTATGGTCCGGGGATTGAGTCCCACATTGGGCTCCCTGCTCAGCAGGAGGTCTACTTTTCCCTCTCCCTCTGCTGCTCTCTCTGCCAATAAATAAATAAAATCTTTAAAAATAAATAAAATAGTACTTTCCCTTGATGCCTCCAGTGGTACATGCATCCTAAGGGAAAAAGAACTGCAATACAATCTTAAACTGCATGTATTAGTCTTGTTTGTAATAACACGTTTTTATTTTGATAAAATATATAGTTTACATTTTTGAGACCTACATTATATATTTTGAAATTTTATACTTGACTAAAGCAAATAAGTATTTGTGCTAATGTTTCTGGGAACCAAGTTTTTTTTTAAGTAGGCTCCATGCCCAGCATGGAGCCCAATGAAGGGCTTGAACTTACGACCCTGAGGTCAAGACCTGAGCTGAGATCAAGGGTCGGATGTTTAACCAACTGAGCCACCCAGGTGCCCTGCTGAGGACCAAAATTTTTATTGTAAATCAAGTATCAAATCAAAGGAGTAAACTTTAACCCTGTAATCTTTCATTTGACTTAGAAATAGCATAATGAACTCGTGGGTTTTTCTCTTTCTAGAAAATACTTATTTCCCTAGCTCAGACCACGGAAAAGGTCTAAATATGATAACCCAGTAATAATGAGCAACCCTCGTCCCCAGATTGTGGACCCTAAAAGCCATTTTTTACTAGATGGAACTAGGGATCTTTGGGGAAACAGCTGATTCCAGGTCTGGGACAGGAAATTGGCACATGAGTATGAGGCATCATGTGCCAGAAAGCAAGGAAGTCCTCCAAGACTTGAGTTTGAGTCAGAAGGACTCAGGAGTCAATCTGAAGTGGTTGCCACTGGCCAAAGATGGGACATTCTGAGCAGCAACTAGAGCGACTGCAATGATTTGAAGCACATGAAATATGTTCGAAAATGTAAGTTCATGTTAGTGTTCATACAATACCTCATTGGTCACCTTTGAAGGGTGCTAGGAACCAAGTCGTTTTGATTTTTTTTTTCATAAAATAGGGAAAGAATCAAGCATGTCTTTCCTGTATCTGAACGAGTGAAATAACTGATCATTACAGAGAGAATAATAAAATTTGAAAACCACTATTGTCCATATATCAACGATGTAGTAGATGCAGGTAATAATGATCAAGGGCTGCTAAAGCTAGTAGTGGAAAGGTTGATTGGGCATCTTAAGATGGAGCAGGATGACACTGATCAGTCTTAGGGCACCAAAAGAAGACAACTAGACATCATGTGCTCCTGATAGAATACAATAAGATACATTACAATAGCACTTTGGAGGACGTATTCTCTCACCAAATAAAACCTAAATCTAATCAAGCTTCTAGCTGTCAATATACTATATAAGAAAGGGGGGAGAGGGCAGTGAGGAACAAATGAAACAATATAATCAGTTAAACCCAAAATGTAAGATATCCTATAGGACAACTGGTCCGGTTTCTTCAACAAATAGAAGGCAAAAAAAGGTGGGGATGAGGGGGGAAAAGAAGGAAAGGGAGGGAGGAAGGAAGGAAGAAAAAGTCAGGGGGAGGGAAATTTATAGATTAAAAAAGACTGAAGATTTTAAATGCTGGAACAATTTCGGCAACAAAATAACTAAAGTAGTATTGAATTATAACCCAAAGTATAAAATATCCGTGAGTCCATAACGACAAAAATGATGTAATAAAGAGCCCAAGGCAGATGCTTAACCAACTTAGCCACCCAGGCACCCCAAAAGCCAGTATTTTAACAAAGCATTCATTGCTGCTGATTTAGACCTGGAACTTCAAGAAACCAAGACAGCCAGTAAAAGTAAGTTTTGACAGGGGGAAAAAAAAAAAAAAACCACAAAACAACAAAATGCAACGTCCATACCTTATTTGTAGCCTGATTTTATACAAAGACATTTTGAGGCAGGGAAATTTTAACAGTCTGGATGTTAGACGATACTAAGAAATTAATATTCTTTTTTTCTTTTCTTTTTTTTGTTTTTGTGGTGCCGAACCCGGGAACGAACCAGAAATGTTTTCTTAGGTATGAAAATGCTCTTTTCTTCTCTTAAATAGTCCTTATCTGTTAGAGATCTATCATGAAGCATTTATGGGTGAATTTATTAATGTCTGGAATTTGCTTTAATATACTCCAGCAAAATAATAATAGTAATAATAATGAGAGGTATAGGTGAAACAAAAAGGGTAGAATATTAGTAATTGCTGAGAAGTACCTGTAGGTTTGTTACATTCTTTTCTAATGTTGTGTATTTTATTTATTTTTCTTTTTTAAGATTTTATTTATTTAACAGAGAGAGTGCAGGCGAGCACAAGCAGGGGGAGCAGCAGGCAGAGGGAAGAGGGAGAAGTAGGCTCTCCGCTGAGCAGGGAGCCCGATGCGGGGCTCGATCCCAGGACGCTGGGATCACGACCTGAGCCGAAGGCAAAGCTTAACCCACTGAGCCACCCAGATGCCCCTAGTGTTGTGTATTTTAAATATTCGTAATAAAACACACCGAGGACTACAAAAAGGAT